GTGAAAATCTTGGCTTCCTGGAGTCCTGGACAGATCAGCTAACAGTGTTCCTGGAGGTGGAATCTCTGCACTGTAAATTTGCCTGGAACAACTTGGTACTGCTGTGCCTGTGGCTTATTTTCCTGCCCTGTTGGTAAAATGTTCCCAGTAAACCTTTAGGTTGGTGGTACTGCAGTTGTGAGCAGTACAGGTGAAAGTGGCTTACAGTCTCTTTCTAAGGAGGTCATAGTTTTTCTAAAACTTTCAGAATTGTTTCTAATTCTTCTGACATGGTGCATAATTTATTCTGTCCCTCTAAAACCATCTTGTCATATATTGACTAAGGTTAAACAGTTGCACATCATACAGGTGGGTGGCGAAGTCACGTTGGCCTTCCACTTAAAGCGGTCAAGACACTGAGAGTTTTGGATTTTCCTCTTTTTCCATGCTGACATATGAGATGAAAGTAATGTTTCCTTTCTCCAAGAATTTTTCTGCTCTCTAGGCTGAAACTGAAGTGCATGGAGGAAGGAACAAGTGTGGCAGTGGAGCAGAAGATCCAAGTGCAGGACTGGTAGCAGGTTTAGAGAGGAGGAATTCTGGAAAAATTTGACTTGTGCAGCAGTTGACAGGTAATGGGCAGCTCTAATTGGTGCCCAGAGTGACTCTGACCAGTGAGCTGCAAGAGCCAGTGTCCCAGTGTGACACAGCCTGGACCAGCAGAACAAAGGTGGATGAGGCATTCGAGATCTGGTGTGGGAAAGCTGGGTATTGCTGAGGCCATCTCCTCAGAGGGTGAGGCATTAAACAGCTCAGAAGTGCCCTAAAAACTCACCTTGAGAGAACACTTAAAGGGAGGAAATGGTATATTCTGTAGCTGAAAATGAGCTGTGTGGTTTTGTTAATGTGGTTGGTCTCAGAAATTGCTACTTTCTTCTGCTTTTGAGGTGGAACTGTGGTGTATTCGAAAGATATTTTGGAATAAATAACTAGAAATAATTCAGGGAGTTCTCTGAACTAAGTGCAAGGAAAATAGTACATTTAATTGGATTAATCTGTGTAATGGTTTGCATTACGTACAATTTGCTGTAAGCTCCTGTCTTCAGACCACTCCAGTGTTCAGCACAGAATGTGCTGCTTCTTGAGCCCTGGCACAGGTTGCCAGAGAAGCTGTGGCTGCCCCATCCCTGGGGCTTGGAGCAACCTGGGCTGGTGAAAGGTGTCCCTGCCCATGGCGGGGGGTGGAATGAGATGGGCTTTAAGATCCCTTCCAGCCAAACCATTCCATGATTCCATGATGGTGGTGCCTAGTGGTCATTCCTACATGTAATCCTTTAACATGCTCCTTGAGTAGGTGCTCTTGGGGGGCAGAACTGCTTAGTCCTCCAGCAAGATGGAAGATGTGCTCAGCTCTGCATCAGTCTGTTCTTGGTGCTCATGCAAATAACCTTAATTAATTGCCTGGCTGGTGGAACCTTAATTAATTGCCTGGCTGGTGGTGTCTGTGGCCAAGGGTACAGACACAATCACTGGATTAAGATTCACAGTCAGCCATGAGGGTAAGAGCAAGTTATGCTTTTTGGCAGGCAATGGGAGGCCCATCCATGTCTTCATGAGATGATGGCTGGCTAGAGGCTTCAGGAGAAAAATGGAGGTGCTTTTATGGTCACAACTATTCGATGATTTTACAGCAAGGCTTGTTCTGAGCCTCGTTAAAAATGTGTAAAAGTAACTGTAGCAGGGACTTTTTGATTCCTGGTCTATATTCCTGACAAATCAAAGTAGGAGTTTTAGAAGTACCAAAGAAAGTCAATTGCTAAACTTTCTAAGCACTCAGAACATCCAAAGAAAATCAGATGCCTGAATGGCTTGTGCCTGTTTGGATGTGCTGCCCCAGCCATCAGATTATGCCAAATGTTGTAGTATTTTGTAGCTAAACTTTGTTGGGAGAAAATAATGACCTGTAACGTTCCTTCAAGGTTTAATGGCAGTGGCTTGTGGTATTCTGGTTTTTAAAATATCCACTTAATAACAGAAAAGCATTTAGGCTTAAATCAGGTTTAAGAAGTAAAAATTTACAAGTGCTTTCATCTGCTGCAAGAAATAATTCTCCCAGAGCATTTGGAAAAGTACTGGCACTTGGTTTCTGTGTTGGGCCTTGATGTTTGCTGCTTTCTAGTGCTGAAAAGGTTCAATTCTCAACTACAAACCACTGCTCAACTGATTCCATGCTGTCACTTTGAGCTTTACCAAGCGGAATAAAGTAACAGCAAAACAAAGAGCAAACCCAGGCCCCTCAGTGAGCATCATCTGGTTTCAGTTTTGTCATGCTTTTTGTCTGATGAATAGAGAAGGAATTTCATTGCACATAAGCTGTTCCATTTAACAGCTCAGATCTTGCCCATTCCTACAAAATTAATTTAGGCATAGTGTTTTATTGGTCTGGATTAATTATGCTGCTTTTATCACAGATAATGTGCAAAAGATGTATATGTAGTTTGTATTTCTAGGTCAGAAGCACATCAAGTTATTAAAATATTCTCTTGTCAGTTTATAACTATACATGTCTTTCAGCCATTTTCCTTAAAAGTAGGCTAATATGTACTTAAGAAAACTAATTACTATCATTATGAAAAGAAAGAATCGGTGTGATGAGACTTTACAGTGGCCCTTGGTTTGTCCTGAAAACTGAGCTGTGAATCCTGGTTCTCCAAGGTCTGCTGGAGCAGGCAGCAGTGTGGGAGTGCTGGGGGAAGGGGGTCCTGTGTGCTGGGCAAACTCAGCTGGGTGGAGGCCTGGGGGATGGACAGAATGTTTCCCTACAGATGCACTCGGTATCTATCACAGGGACTTCAGTGTGCTTCTACCATCTGGGTTTTGACAACCTCATGACAGTGTCAGGGCTGGTCTACTGGAGTAATTGCTGGGAGATGGAAACATTTCCACTTTTATCTCAAACCTTTTCTCATGTTAAGATCCCTTTTTCATTTGTGACTTCAGATATAAGGTATGAATTGGAGACCATTAAATATGGGCTTTAAACTGCTTTCAAATACCTTCTTCCATCTCCCAAGGAAATAGTAGAGGAATAAAATATTGCAGAGTAATAGTAATGGAGCTGTGTTGTTATACTAAATCAGTCAGATATTTGTCAGCATTATGGACTAAATCCCTTGAGGAGGAAAATGAATGTTTTGTGTTCTTATTTTAATCACACAGTTGGAATCCTAATGCAGAGCTAAGACCAGGTAATACTTCTGGTTTCCTTCATCTGACTGGTGGCAAAAACATTGAACGGCTTTTTGCAACTTGTGATGGAATTTGTAGCAGTCAGTTAGCAGGGATTTAGTTTTTTCCTTCTGAAACTGAGCAAGAATGCAGGCAACATTTGGGCTTCTCCAAGTGTAGCATTGGCCACAGGGTAAGTTTGGTAACAAAGCTGCAGTTAAACCTCTGGTATTACTAAATTCAGCAATTACAGGATGTAGCTCTTGGGTAAAATCTTACATTTCTAAAGCAAATTGTGGTTAGACCCATTTGTAGAATCTCCCTGGAATGTGTGAGCTTGTATGTGCTGAGGTGTGAAAGTGCTATTGATTCTGATATTGTCACCTCTGCAAATGAAATGGGTGTTTAAGGATGATTTGCTTGGATGTTTTCTCATGTTTCATACATTGCTTTATGAACACAGGTGAGTTGGTACATTTTATTTTTTCTTTAGTTTCTGCAGAAAAATATATTAATTTTCAAAGCTGGTTTTCTTTATAATAAGTGAATAATGCTTGTCACCTCTTTCAGATTCTGTGTGATACTGGACGTGGTTTTGGTGGTCGGTTCTGGTTTGGTCACGTGGGGAGATGGAACCTCAGCCAGTGGAGTCTGGTCACCTTCTCACGAAAGCCTGTGACTGCTTTCTCTTGGAATAGGGCTGTGTTCCAATCCCCCTCCTTTCACACATAACATCTGACAGGAGTGTAGAAGCTGCTGGTACCAGCAGGGACGATGGTCTTGGCATACTCAGGTGAAGCTGCCAAGGGTGGGTTTCCTTGTCTGTTAAATGAAAAACGTAGCCAAGCTGGGCTGAGGCTGCAGCAGGAGGGGAGACTTGGGGCTGCTCAGGTGAAACCTTGACCATTCTCAGTGTTGGTCACGTTGCCCCTGTCTGGTTCTCTCTACTTGGGCAACTTTCCTCACGAGCCTCTGGGTTCATGTCCTGGTGAGCTGTGAGTGCAATCGTTGATCGATCCCCACAGGGGAGAGGGTCGTTCTGGTGATCCCCATGGAGGAGGAGGGTCATTTTGGTGATCTCTGCAGGAACCAAGGGTCATTCTGGTGATCCCCATGGAGGAGGAGAGTCATTTTGGTGATCCCTGAAGAGGCTGAGCGTGATCCCTGTGGAGGAGGAGAGTTGCCCTGGGGCTGTTACTGGAGTTGGGGCTCTAACCCTGAGTAATTGTGTTACTCTTTGTGAGGGTGCTGTCTTTAACCCCCGTGATTCACTTGCTGCAGCTGAGTAGGTGTTGCAGAGTGGCCCAGGCGACCCCTGTGCTGCAGTGGCTCCTGTTGACACCAGCTCTGTCCCCGCGTCCATCCCATCCAGGGCTGGGCAGTGCCAGCAGCTCTGTCCCTGTGTCCATCCAGGGCCGGGCAGTGCCAGCAGCTCTGTCCCCGTGTCCATCCCATCCAGGGCTGGGCAGTTCCAGCAGCTCTGTCCCCATGTCCATCCCATCCATGGCCGGGCCGGGCCCCCTGCTGGGCACAGGGGGCAATGCACTTTGGTGCGAAATGACGTCACGAACCTAGCTTCGTGACGCCACCGTGACGTCAGCCCCCTCCCAGCCAATCAGCGCGGGAAAGGTTGGGACGGTGACGTGAACTACCCTAGCAACAGTCGGCGCGGCGCCACCCAATCAGAAAATAGCAGTGGGCGGCCGTGAGCCAATGGGCGCTGTCGGCGGAGGCCGGCGGCGGAGGCCGGCCCGCGGGGCTCGCTCCGATAAGATGGCGGCGGCGCTGGCGATGGCGGCGGCCGCGGCTTTGTCTGCGCCCAGCGCCTGAGCGCGGCCCCGGCCCGGGCGGCCGCTCCGCTCCGAGCAGCGGCGGCGGAGTCATGACCGCAGAGCCCGTGAGGTACGGCCGGGCCGGGCGGCGCCGCGGCGGCCGCGGGGTGGGGCGGGGCC